AAAACAACATACTGAAAACATGAAGGATTTTATCTTATCTATATATTATATAGTACTAATGTAACCCCCCCCGAAATTTTTTTCTAGTTGCGCCACTGGACGTAGTAACTAGTATGTATAGTAGTCACTAATTCACGTTGAACATTGTTATATCTATACATATTTTACTGTCAAGAAGTCATCGCGTCAAACTTTAAAAATGAACCCCATTTACCGAGAACGGAGGAGGATCCCACCGGGAAATTCCCAATTTCCAATCATGTCTTTAATAGATAATATACTATATCTTCATTCGTATTAGTTATTAAATAATGGATTTAAGTCATTATTTAACAATTAGTGCCATACAATGATAGCAACTATAGTATAACTACCATCACTCAACTTTACCACAGAATAACTAGAAAATAATATATATCTATGATAATAACTCTTTAGATATATTATCCACAACCACGGTGTTGACGAAATGTATCACCTGGCTTTACTGATCTATCGAGAACGCTTATAAAGACAAACATTGTCTGGTAACGAACAATTCTACCACAAGCAGACAAGCCAATCATAATCCAGATATATTTTTTATTATTTACATAAAGATTTTTAATTTTTAAGTCATGTTCTAATGTTTATAAAACATTACTTTAATACTTCTAAGAAAATAACAGACGAATTGGCCAAAAATAAAGGAATTTTAATTTTATAATTTTATTACCTTATATAAAATTAATTAATTCAGCTTGCGTATGTTTGTGACAAACGTTGAACCGATCTTGATAATATTTATACTTCATAATTGTTATACAGAGGCGATAACACAGGTTACTTTTCATCCCAGAATTCAACCCCTAAATCTTGGCTCACACTTGGTTTTTTTTCGGCGTACGAAAATTGAATATTATTTCGTTGTATAAAATGGCTTATATTTTTATCTAAATTGTGTATAATAAATTAATAAATTGATTCAAGAATTTAACATTTTTAAGATATTTTGGTTTCGTTTTAAACGATAAGTATGAAAAAAAAATGCTTAAAAAGTAAATTATATTTTGAACAAAATTAACTATGTATTAGTAGGTAACTGGAACCTAAGTAATAGTTTTACACTTTTACAATGATGTTATACTATATATTTCTGTTCACACTTTTTTGACTGCCATTTTTGACTTCAAAATGTTCTCGTAGTTTAATTTATAAATTGAAAATCGAGCTCTAGCGTCTGATAACAATAAAAATATCCTTAAAAATATTGGCTAACGAACCCTGCTCAAAATCGTTTCTCATATAATTTAACACAATATTAATTAGTCATTACTAATAATTAATGATTAGGTAGGTACTCTCTAAACTATCGAGTCTCGAGTACATATACTAAACAGCAGAGCACTGACCCTGTTTTTTTTTTTGTAGATAGATGGTAGTATATAAATGAGTTTTGGGAGAGTGCGAAGATGCTATGAAACGGTAATTTTTCGACGTTCTTGGTGTGTTTCCTAAACGTTAATAAAGCTATACAATAACAAAAAATATCTCATAAATAAGTGCATTCAGTTTTAAAGGAAACAAGACAAGTGCCTAAATCATTCTAGATGGATTTTTATTTTTAATAATCAATATTTTCATTTACTTATATACGGTTGATGTTTATGCATTTGAAATTTAGTCTAAGCATATTCTTCAATTTAATTAAACTTTTTTTTTGTGAAAATAAGTGCACATTGTTTTTGATTTAAGCAATACAATTTTTGTATTAAATAATAATGCGCTGAATTTTACTGTAATATTTTTTAATTTTCATATAATTTATTCTCCATAACTTTAATTAATATTTATAAAAATCTATAAAATAAATATTATAAAAAATATTTTGTTTTGTCAAGTTTAATCATGGTTAGGATATTGTTTTAAAGTATACATAAAAATCGAAAGTAAAGAAATAATATTTAGCCATAATTTTTCTAAGGTTTATTTATTAACTAAACTTACTTTACTAGAATTAGTTATTTGTACAATTCAAAATATTTAAGTTGTCTTAACTACTAATAATGTCATTTTTCTGAATTTATCCTGTAATATACAACTTTTCAGACATATTCAAATTACCACCTTCAATTACCTCCCATATTAGGTAGTTTAAAATTTAGTGTTCAAATTGCACCCTATGAATATTTTAGTAATTCGATAATTATAATCTTAATTTAGAGTTAATAACTCTTTGTTGCCAATGGCCATAGTTCCCGAGGCTTAATTCAATTTAAAAAAAAAAGCTTTAATCTTATTTCACTTTAAACAATGATTTTATATTCGAAAAAAGCTTGATAGTCGTTAGATACATTAACTAATGCAAATTATTAAATCATTATTATAATGTTAATTTTATATTTTTATGACAAACAAATGTAATAAATGCACTAACGTAAAAGATTATGTTGTGCTAATCTAATCTTTAATAATAATTAGCGTTTGACAAAATCAGAAAATAAAAATAATATTTTTCTAATGTGTTACGAATAATTCGAAAATGAATATAATATAATAATCGATAGACAGACGATAGTACTATTATTATACATCGGTAACTATATTTATTTTTAATACATGTATCGGAAGCAATTCGAGAGGTACACCCAATTAGTAATTAGTATACTTATTCAAATAAAAAAAGTAACCTATCTAGATTTGAGAGGTAATGTTGGCCGAATTTTTCATTGGTTTGGGAGAGTTCATTCGAATCAACAGGTAGTAATACTGTAATAGTAGTTACGGCGGCACCAACCGCACGCTTACAATTCTGATTATTCTCCCTCCGAGGCTGTATGACAGTATAGTGTATACGTTCTAGCAAAGAAGGGGGTTAGGTTAGGTTAGGGAAGGGGATAAGTGGTAAGACATAATGCTTAAATAGACAACAGGTATTTCTTTGCCCATTTGTACTAATAGTGCGATTATTTAAAATCTTAATGATGAATGTTTAGTAATGGAAAAGTTTGTACTTCATCTAGATATGATAAATTCATAAATGATTATATTATATTCCAAAGATTTAAATTATATAACAAAGTGAAGGTATTTAAAATATTTTTATCATTTCAGTTACATAGTATTTATTCTTAAAAATACATTTTTGTAACTTGTACAATATAATATGTACCTATAAAAGTTTAAACATTTGAAATTGTTTTAAAGTTACACTTATTTGTAATGCTCTAGTTAATATTTAATTATTTAATGTTAATTTATTATCTGAGGTAGATAAAAAATATAAGTTTTTGAAAACCTGTAATTCATAAAGACACTATATAAATAGAAAATACTATTTAACTATATGTGTCTATATATACCTACGTATATGTATATTTACGTTTTATTATTGATCGTTATATGAACATCAACCCATATGATTTTTTTTATTTAA